AAAAATTAATATTGCTCCCGCCTTTTTTCCTTCCTTCTCCTGGAGAAAAAAGGGGGAAAAAAATTTTTTTTTTTTTTTTTTTTTTTTTTTTTAAGAAAAACAGGAAAAAAAATGTTTTTAGAGGAATTAGATGAAATTACGTTCTGAGCAACTAACCTGTGATCTTGGCCTGACTTTCAAGCAGCAAGTTCTCTTCACTGTTACTTTCCCTGAAATTAACCAGACTTCCATCAAACACATCACCATCAACCACATCGCAACCAACCGCATCGACATCAACCGCAAGGTCAGTCTCTGGGTCAAGGGTCACAGTGACCAGGTCCTCTGGGAGGTTGGAGATCAGTGGCAACAGCATCTGGCTCTTTCTTTTCAGGGCCGTGTTCTCTTTGCTGACCTGTGCACCAGAGGAGACGACGGTTAGATGAGGAGAACGATGCAGCGCCATTGCCTGCCTTATTTGTGAGCTTTAATTAATTGCTTGACATGAAGAGTTACTTTGAGAGCCAGAGCCTCCGCGCTCTCCCTGCAGGAGCGCTCCACCTGGAATTGGATCTCCAACATGTTCATCTCCTTCAGCAGCTGATTGGAAGCTGATCACAGAAAGGAGAGAGGGTTTTTTTTCTTTTCAGGCACAACAAAAAACAAACCCTAGAAGAATCTTTATTATTTTCAATTTGGACATCTGAAACATTTTTGTGTGACATTGAAAAATCTACAATGCCCTAGAAGTGTTTCTACTATTTTTTTATTAACTTTTCACATGGTGTAAAGTCGAGTGATAGACCAACTGCATTCCTTAAGGACCAATGTCTTAAATATCTTAAATGTCTTAAATGTGTCCCTGCTCCAGCAGATCCAAAGCATGTCAGCTGGTTCTATTCATCTCATACTGGTGTGTTGAATCAGGGAACATATGTAAATCATGCAGCACATCATCCTTTGGTGACTTTCAAGTTTTGATTTTTTTTTTTAATGCTCCCCTTCATGCACAGGAGAATTTAAAATTCTTTACAGATAAAATAGATGGAAGTGGAACAATAGTGGAACAATATTTGGTGTTCAATTTCCTTATTTAGCCCTCTTTATTTTAATACCCTTAAATGATGAAATGATTTTTATGGTGGAATAGTTTAGATTAAAGCATATTAATGTTGTACTTCCACAAATCTAGTAGAAAATTGGAGGCAAAACTTAATAAATGGTTGAAATAAATCTTTTTTTTATGTCCAAGCGGTAAAGTAGAAAGAAGAAAAATTCCTTCACCAGAGAAGTTTCTACAAAGTATTGACTCCAGAGAGCTGAACAGATCCACATATCTCTCTTTTTTGTTGTTGTTTGTGAACTATGAAACACGTTGAAACATTATTACATCCTTGATTGAACACTTCTTTTATGTTAGCCAGTCATGTAGTGTTACCAGGAAATACAATAAAGTTTGAGGCTTTCAAATAAAAAAAGTCTGACGGATGTAAACACATTTGCAGAGTACTGTATGTTTTTGATTCCCTCCTTCCAAAAGGGAAAATAAATAAATAATACTTCTGCACATGAACTCAGTCGAAGCTCAGCAGAAATGCTAAGAACCTATCAGTGAACGTGTCCCTGCTTTGCGTCGCTCTGTTTGTGTTGTCGCTGAAACAAACCTGCGACGATCACAAACCGCTGCAAACTCTCACCTTCCTCCAGCTCCATCAGCCTCTGATTGGCCTCGTCTCGCTGCTTCTCCAGGATCTCGCACTAACAATCAAAATCAGCGCAAGTGAGCAGAAGAAAACACATCAATCCGCTCGCATCAAATTCATTTTTATTCGCATTCTAAAGCCGTCGTCAGCCTCCACCGGAGGCACAAATATGATTTTGCCATTATTAATGCAATCAAGGCTGCAAACGTGGACTCTGCATTGTGCTTTGAGTTCCGCAATTTTGGCTCATTTTTCACCTTTCTCGCAGATGTCGTTTTAAATTACACCGGGACATTTGCTAAGAAAACATCCAAATAGGAGCAGTGAAGAAAAAAAAAAAAATCAGATGTCAACACATCTGAGCAGGATTCATCTTTTTCCTCATGTGCTGCTGCTGATTGTCTCTAATGCACACTGTAACAGCAGTACCTGAATATCTTCCCAATCCTCAGAAGATAAGCAGCTGTCCTCATCAGAGTCTGCAAGGAGAAACAAATCATTTTTATTTTTATTTTTTTCATTCGCACACAGCGGACAGATTGGGGAAACTAATTTGGAAAAGACAAAGCAGACGCATCCCAGCGTGGCTGGAAAAGGAAGTCCTCCGTGCGTTTCGCTCGCACAGATAAAAAGGGATGTGAAATTGCAGAAAGAAGCCGATCAACATGTTTCGGTTTCTGTCACACTGGACTCAAGTGACAGGGAAAGTGAGTCACTCGCTGCTCGACCGTCTGACACGTCGTTTTCACTGATCTGGTGATGAGACTTTAAATACCGCTGCAGGCGACTTGGTTCGCTTAGATGAGATGTTTTAGATGATCGAGCTATGTAGTTTTGTTAATTAATGTAGCAAGAAAGTAAACAGTTGTATCCTAAAAGTCTCTCGTTTGGCCTCATCGGTTCCACCAGACATACCTTTTGATTCGCTGTTCTTCTCAGAGAAAACTGACTTTCTCACGAAAAACCTTCCAAGCACTTCAATTATCTTCTTACCGATCGTTCCTGAATTTTAACATGGCGCTCTTGTGTCTTTCTTTTTAGTATTTCTTTGAGCATTATGCTTGAGGTGATTTTTTACAGGTTAACTTCTAGAATATAGTGTCAAATATCTTTAAATCTTAAATAACTCTTGCCAGTGTAAAAATAATGGACTTCATGTAGTTTTGAATTTGCCTTATAACCATTCCCAGATTGATTGTTGGCCACAGTTGCTGCTCTGACGTCATTGCTGGTGTCTGTCCGCCCTGACATCGTGTTAAACCATAAAGAAATCAACCAATACTCCTGTTTCTATACCCCATCAGTCAGTTATGTAGAATTATAATACATTACAGTAAATTTTGAGGCTTTACTGCACATAAAAGCTTTAATTTGTCCTGATAAATAAATTTAAAAAAAATCAAAGTTTAAAACCCACAGTTCATGAATACAATCTTACGTGCAAAGGACAGACTCATTGTCATTTTTGCAGTCTTAATTCATTTTAAAAAAAACAATGTGAAACAACGTCAACTTGTTTCATGTCTTTTTTTCTTTTTTTTTTACAATGCTATACAGACGATGTTTTAAAATGTGCTTCCAAGCAACATTTCATTTACAGTTTAAAAGTCTTGAAGGCTGCTTCAATTCCTGGTAAACCAGATTAAGTCAGACTAGGTGCAAAAAGTTGAATCAAGAAATGGATCAAGTGAAGCTTTAAAAAGGCAAAAGTGAAAGAAATAAAGCTTTTTCAGATAATAAAATAACATGTCTACTGGCCAGCTGCCAAAAGTGAAACATTTTCTGCTTTTATGATCATTATTTTTAACCAATTTAATCACCAACGATTTAAAAAATATATATATGTGAAGTTAATTTAGCAAGATTTTATTTATTTTATCCATCCATACCTGCAACTGTGCTCTCCTCATCTTGTATCCACATCTTTCTGAACGCAAGATTTCAGATGTTATACTTTTTTAAAAAAAAAAAAAAGCTGTTGAATCCAGCACAATGAATACGCTATGATTTCTCTGAAAAGCAGCCAGTTTATACTGAAACTAACAAGTGGTACTTCTGACTAAACCTCGCCCCCACTGCCAAATACAAAAATGAGGAACTTAACGCCTCACTCAAAAACGTAGCATTAGTCGCAAGAAGTTTTTCTTATTAGAAAAAAGTCGGTTTTTGTCTTAAATCAGTGGTATTTAGTGATCAGGAAGTTTCACACAGTAAAAAGAAAAAAAACGCAGCTCTGCTTTGTGCATATGGCGTCTTAAGAGTCGACTCTGTCTCTCTGCTGCAGACTCAATGTCACTCAAGCAGCCGGAGCAATGCAAGAGCTGCTTTCACTCCTCTATTAGCATCTGTGCTGGAGTTCATGACCTGTGAAGCATCAGCAGCCCACCATAGGAACCATATTTCTGGGTGAGAAGTTGGCAGATGACTGAGGGCTGGTGGCACCGATGATGCTGATGACACACATTCCTCCACTGTGAATAATTTACGAGCTTCAAATTCCTGATCCCTCACTCCTGTTTTATTCATCCACCTGCCTTCCAGGAGTTGATTTATAGTAGAACACTAGATTTACTGTCTTTGGTGAGTTTTGGCAAACGCTGGATTTGATGAGCTGGATGGAGGTTAGAATAAATAGATAGATAGATAGATAGATAGATAGATAGATAGATAGATAGATAGATAGATAGATAGATTTTTTTTCTGAAACACCATAAAGTATAACATTTTTATTTTTATTTTGTTGTAAGTGTACTGTAATAAAGTGAACATTGAATTTTCCACCACTTCATACTATAACCAAAGTAACTGGTAGAATATATTCTTCTTTTTACAACATTTTTTATACTTAAATGTAGAGAACGCAGCAAATCTCTTAACATGATTTATTTAGAAATAATTCGAAAAGTAACATTTATCAGATAATATTTCGATATCTTAAATTAACGCAGCTATTTAATAGAATGTAATACTTGAGTGACATTCTGGTCCACACTCCATACCAGTTGGTGGCGGTAATGCACCATTTTCGTTGTTTGCCAACCGCCAGTAAACATCAAAGAAGAAGAAGAAGAAGTAGCGTCTCTTAACATGACGACACAAATGGACAGAAGCAATAGGAAGTCTTAAAACGGCCAAATAGCTAAGAGTAAAATGAAACGCCTCATACTGGAGTATTTCACAAGAAAACCAGGTAATGAGTGTAAATTATGTAGTTTCTCTTCCAACTTTTAACAGCTGTTTTACATTTTAAATCTATAATCAGCTCTTTTCTACCGTTTTCCCCCCTCTAAAGCTAACTTGTTGACGTGACGCTAGCACGTTTCTAACAAACAGCTGTTGCTTTTTCAGACTGAAGAAGCTGAAAACAGCTTCAATTTTCAGCTTCTTGTGTGAGTAATGCTGATTTTTTGTCATTTTAATTTTGTTTACCTTGTGCCATTAATCCTAAATTAATACAAGCAAACTACTTGGCTAACGTCATCATAGCAGGCTAACTTGCTAGCTAAATGTTTAGGGAGGTTAAAAGAGAAGGAAACATAACTTTTGTTTACAATTACAAAACTTTCACTAACGTTTGACCCAACCGACCTTTGACTCCACAGAAAATAATCTTTGCATAGCCATTAAAAAAAGTAATGTATCACACTTCCTACAGAGAAGGTCAAAAAACAATCGGATATATATTTTGTTGTATATGAGAGCCATATGCAACAGTATTTTTATATGTTTATATTCTATATTATGTTTTTACTGTTTTCCAACAATAAAAAAAGAACTGTTACTTCACTCACCACAGATAAAGTTTCAATAAAAAACTAAATGTCCTCATTTAAATTCCTGCAGACACATTGCTGACAGCCGGGCCTCTTTATTTTTAGAAATATTTAAAATAATCACAAGAACTCATTTAAATTTTATTCTTTTCTTCCGCCCCCGGGGTTCAGGAGGACGTCCTGCACGGTGCAGGGATGAAAAGCGTTTTTGTGATGCTTTGTCCTTGTGATTTAATGACTCTTTTCTTCCCTCCTGTACTGCTTGTGGCCATTCCGGGCTCCACCTGAGCACCAGAACCTCCTGCAGCCCAGGGCCGTGACCTTCACTCGTGACCCTTCAGCGTCTTCAGAAAGCTTCGCCATAACAGGTCACATTAGCATCAGCGACTGTCTAGAAGAGCTGGACATCATTTAGGAAGTTGATTCTTCTTATTTTTTTTTTTTCAGTATGTTTTATTTATTCTGGTTCGATGGAAAACATTTCTTTGTGAATCACTTGGATCAGTGAAAGTATAAGTTTATGTCCATTCAGCCTTCGTTGCACTTTTTTGTCTAATTACGCTCATTCATATCTATTTCACTCGTAAGTCTGCTTTCTTTTAATGTGAAAGGATAAAGTTATAACAAATGAATGCATTAAGCCAGTAACATAAAATTTATTAAATGTGTACAATTTATATAATTACCTTTTACAGAAAACAGTGTAATTAAATATAAAAAGTAAAAATGATAAACAGTAAATCATCTTATGTTCACCTACAAAGCATTGAAAAAGTAACCACAAATTTACAAATCTTCAGGTTACAACCACAACTTTCATTGTACTTTATTGTTTCTTGGGACACATTAACACAAAGTAGCACTTAATTGTGGATAATGTGATCAAACTTTTTTAACAATTAAAAATGCAATAAAATAAAAATGAAAAATCCTTAATAAAATCAATTTCAACCAATTATCTCAATTTCAACCAATTATCTCATGAATTTACCTGATTGATAAAAATAGTTCACCTGTGCATATGCATAATAAATGCAGCAGTTCTGTGAAGGCCTCAAGTGAACATTGGGGGAACAAACAACATCATGGAGGGCAAAGACAGCAGAGAGAAGGTTGTGTAGAAGATTGAAGTAAAGTTAGGTAATGGATAAAAATCCAATGGGGCGCAACAACAAACACACATCGACAGACCAGGCAAGGGGAGCGTCAACCAGGAGTCCCGTGGCAATTTGGACGAGCAGTAGCTCAACGGAAAACCAATATTCTGCTCTTATTAAAGACCTGAAATAAGAAAATCAAGAGTGTGCAGTTTGCCACAAGCTGTAAAGAGGACACAGAATCACGTGGAAGAAGTTGTTCTGGTCAGCTTAGACCAGAATTTAACTTTTATTGGCTTCATGAAAAATTATTTGCTGACAGGAAAACTGGTCAGATGGAATAAAGCTAAATCCAGAGCAGCGGTCAGAGGGAACAGAGTCTTTAGACATGCTAGTTGGACAAATCCAACCAACATCTGGGTATACAGATGTTGGAATGAAGAAGTCCAAAGTATATTGGGTTGAGTAATGACTCAAAGTCCTTGTGCGTGCGAGGACTGAGGCAAACGTAGAGGACTATGGCAAATGATACAAGTTTTACGTGTGTGGGGTCGGTTGGACCCCATTTCTACATACAAGGATTAAGAATGCAAATAAAGAGCCCACTATTCAGATTTTAGAAACAGTTTCATTTTCCTTCCACGTTACATTTGCACCATGCTTACATCACATTTATCCCCAATAAACAACCTAATCGAAGGTTGTTGTAGTGTGAGGACGTCCTTAAAACTCCTAAGGATGTGAATGCTTTTTCAAGGCATTTTGCAAGTTGAGGATTCTTCACACGTTTGTGCTGAGATCAGCCCCGTCTTCAGTTCCTTCCTCATTGAACCGCGCGGATGATCCAAGACTCCGTGAAGTCACGCAGCGTGAAGTAGCTAATGTGCTTTCAGCTGTGAGCCGCAGCCTGCATGTGCTGCTACGCACTAATGACCGAGCACCGTGCAGGCGAGGGCAGAGAGGGGTTGAGCGAGTGTTGTCCTCGGACAATAAGTCGATGGCACACCAACAACGCAGGCGAGCTGATGAAACGACGCAGTTCAGAAATGAAGCGGCTGCTGTCCCAACGAAGAGCGGCGAGCTGACCTGTCCGTGTTTGACATCAGTCACAACAGGCATTTCATTTCATTTCAGATTTGGACATCACCATAGATAAATTTCAGCCTGACTACATTGAAATATTTTTTTAATCTGACATCGCTGCGGTTCATAAAAGAAAGAGGAAAAGCCGATGTTAAAAGTTCAAGTTCGCGGTCATCTGAGGACACGAAACACGTGCAACCCACTAATCTGCCTCTGAACTGTGGCCCTAACCGTTCGCTCTGCTGTTTCCTATTGAGGGATATAAATAGTGTATGTGCGCTCAACTTTTATTTGACGCCATGTGATGTTTACACAAAATGAAATAATCTGACCCCTGAAAAAAAAAAAAAAAGGGATCCAGCCTGTGTTTTGATGTGGAGGTTGCATCTTTTGTGATTTGTAGGAGGAACATTTACAGAATGAGTTCTTTTAAATCCTTGGTTGCCCTCAGCGTTTTACTGATTGTTACCTTTAAACAAGCTGATTCAATCATAAATATATTTTGGGATTAGAATTAGGACAGAATAACTTCCTTAATGAGGATAACTTTAAGTGTTATCCACTTTTCAGAGAAGCTACACTATAAAACCCTAAGCCTTAAACATTTTTAAAAAGCTTTTTCTAACTTTGCTGTAGAGATATGATTTTAATTTATGGTCTGCAATCTAAAAACAATCCATTTTCTGACATTTTGATCTCTTAATTTCTGATTTAAGTGTTTAAAGTTCCTCTCTTTTGTCTTTTTTTTTCTTCAGAAAACAAGTTTTTCTTTGCCCCATTTACTTAATTTGTAAATTATACAGAGGGTTTTTATCTATTGCCTGAATCAACAACTGGCTGCCACATTGATTGATTTTGATCAATTTTTATATTTTGTGGAAAGTTATTTGACATTAAAGTGCTCCGTCAGGGTCCCTTAGAGACGCACACACAAAAAATGCTATAGAAATGTTTCAACATATTTTATCAATTTTAAATTAAAGAATGCTATCATTAATTACATTCCTCATCACCTGGCAAATATAAATCAATTTTCTGAAAATATTTAACCCTTTAAATATCAGTATTATTGATTAAGATATCTCTTTTTTTTTAAAGAATTTAATAATGTTTAATATTCACCAATAAAATTTTGGTGGGCATTATTTAAGTTTGTAAAAAATTATATATATCATTTGTTTTATTTAATATTTGTTTTTATTTTTATAATTGTTTTTTATTTTAAGGTATGCAATAAGTTGATTTGCAGCACATAAAATACAATTTTCATGTTTTGTGAAGAATAAAACATGAAATATTGAAAAGATTTCAATATTCTAATTTTAATGTGTTATCTTGAATTTTTAATGGGAGACAAAATCTTGCCAGAGAAGCACAGATTAACCTAGTTAAATAAGAAAAAAACTAATGATGAAATATGAGATTTTATTGAATCTGCATTCCCACAACTAAAGTTAACAAAAATAAATCTAAATCTAATCAAAAACCCAAAAATAAATGTCCTAGAGGAGGATTAAAGGTGAGCAAAGCATAAATAA